GTTTTTCCCAATTCCCCCAAAATGGTGTTTCCCAAAATAGGCTGATAAATCCCTGGTTTCATATTTTCAAGCACAGTGGTTCTTGAGAAGAAGATTTTTAAATGATGCCATTAATTTTTCACAAATTGAAAATTATCTCCCCTTGGAAGCATTTGAACAAACTTGAATCCCCTTTACCTAAGATACTTTGTGGCAAGTTTGGTTGAAATTGGCCTAGTGGTTCTTTAGAGGAAGATGAAAATGTGAAAAGTTTACAACAATGACGTTGACAACAAGGAAGATGACGACAACAGACAACGGACAAATTTGGATCAAAAAAGCTCACTTGAGCCTTTGGCTCAGGTGAGTTAATAATTAGAAAAATTGGATGTCCGCCATTTTGACCTTGTTAACGTCATTTTATGAAAGCCAGCATATTTTTTTGGATTCAGCATACTCGATATAGGTTAAAAAACTATGTTGGACCAAATAATAATTATTTGCAATTAAAACGCTATTTCTAGCCTTTGACCTTTTCAAAGATCAGGACCAGACTACAGTAAAACTCGGTTACAGCAAAGTCCTGGGGACCTGTGAATTTACTTCATTATATCCATAATTTGTTATATCCATATCATGAATTTGTATCAGTATATAGAGCAAATTCGCAATATACACGTTTTCCTTCAAGTATTTTTACAGAATATGTTTGGGAAGCAATTATTACAAAATATACCTTTGATAACTTATGTTTTATTATGAACTGAATTTTATATACAAATACTTAACGAAAATAATGTCAGTTCAATAAATCAAATTTTGTGATCTTTGAAAATAAAAGATGTAAATTTCATAATTTTTAACCTCTACAGGACTCAAAATCAGTTCACTATGGCCAAAGTTTTTATTTTTTTTGGTTTACGATTTTCTGTCTCAAAAAAATGCATTGGGTGGTCGAAAAATAAAAATAAAAATAATTTTGGATTCAACAATTTCATTATAAAATAACAGCAATTTTTATTTTAATATAAATAATACACGTCAATAGTACTTTTAAGTTTTATTGTCTAGATCACATAACTCTTTTTATTTAATTTTAATTCATTTCTAACTTTAGACTGAATGTCATTTTCATTTACATATAGTTCTGATTTTTGTTTGTCAATCAGTGCTTGGTTCATGATGTTCAACATTTTGTGCTCTTCAGTGATATGTGATGTGTTATAAACCTTGGTATCCCCACAAACTAAAAATAAGGATCCAAATTCAAGTTAAATTTAGATTGAAGAAAAATACAATTGAAGTGTTTAACAATATTAAAAGTAATTGACGTTGAAATAAAGGTTATAATAATTTGATCATGCTGCTATCAAATTTAATGTTCAACCTGCGGCAAAAAAGCCTAATAATTTCTCAATCAAGTCCTTCTTTAAATGTTTGTTATGTACCTGTACAGTAGGCAATGCTCATTATTTATTAGTAATTCAAAGGACTTTAATCTCAATTGAGTATGAAATTTGCAAAGATTTGTATATTGAATTTACTTCTATAAACTAACAAATGTTTTATACACATTTGAATTTATCCAGTGAAATACCAGTCAACGTTGCTTCAACTATTAAGATGTATCTCTCAACACTAAACTGGCCTAACTATTATCCATGGATTTATCAGCCTATTTTGGGAAACACCATTTTGGGGGAATTGGGAAAAAATTATCGGCTGTTTGATGAAATTGCAAATTTTTTTTAAAATGTTGCTTAAATCATGTACTCAGGGGTAATTCATTTAACATTTCAGCACGAACTCTAATTTGGGCAACCAAATGACAATTAAATACGATCCATCTTATTCGTACAAAATCAATTATGAATAATAGACTAATAAAAGTAAAATGGACTTCAATGAGTATAAAGCATTTATACAACTTGGGTAGTACATGTACATGTGTGTATGAGATTTCAATTTAGATCATTATAGTATCTGTTTCTGGAGATTATAAACCTCCTGCAAAAAATTATACTAAGTACGCATTTTCTAAAAGTCCTCTTTTAATATGTATTAATGCATTGAAAATATATTTTTCTATAACTGAAATAATGCCTTAAGTCCTTACCATTAACTCGCAGATCAAATGAGTAGGTGGAAATAACTTAATAAATCTATATAATTACACAATATCATCATTTTTAGAAAAACAGAGGAAATTCGGATTAAAAGTTGGCGATGTTTTTACAGTGTTTTTAAACATGTGTTATGACTCCAGCTTTGCTAAATGAGTTAAAATTACAGACAATCTGACAATTTTACTTAGTGTTTTCCCAAGATAATTAAAAATAAAAGCATTGTTCACCAATTGAGAAAAAATACTGCCAAATTAGGAAAAAGTGAACTCATTTTCAATTGGGAATGGGCCGAACTTCGGCCCCTGAGAAGGCACTGATAAATCCTTATTATCTATAGGTGTATCCGTGTCTGCTAGGTCGATCAGGGTTGGGCATACACTCTCCAATATTACGGTATGAATTTAGCCAATTGAGACATTGCAATTGGAGAAAGGGATCATTTATCCAAGATTTTATTCACTTTTACATGCAGAAAAAGTTCTTTAAGTGTGTGTCATTGCTTTCAGTGAGGAATTACCTTGTTACATGACAGAGCCGCCATTTTTGGTTAGCACATGTGTTTATTTACGGTCACCTAAATGTTTGTAAAGGTCTCATATATTTGTAAGCGCTTATTTGACTAAGATGCATTCTAAAATTTAAAACCCACCAGTTCAGCTGACAAAAATCCGGAAAAATATGTCGGAAAAGACGTTATTTTTATTTTCATGATTTGTGAAAATTAGGGTCAGCGGAATCGTAAACCAAGTGAAAAAAAAACTTTGGCCTATATATAATTATAAAATTTTACAAAGAATTTTTATGAATTTTGCCAGGGACCACAAAAAACTTCACTATATCAGTGAATTTGCTATATCCTTGTTCGTACTAAATGAGTTTTGCTGTATTATATTTTTTCGATATTTACTAAGAAAAACAAGATGTGTTTGTGAAACACTGATGCCCCCTTATGGCAACTTATAGCATAGTTTTAACTTTCTCAAATGCAAATCAAATATGTTGGTACCCAAAGTAAGGTCTTGTTTCGAGGAATATACCTGTGAAATATGAAAGCCCTAGCAGCAATCATTGAATAGATATGGAAAAGGTTAAAGTTTTTTCAAAAGTATGTCAAACATCAAGGTCAAGGTCAAATGTCAAAATTAATGGTGCCCAAGAAAAGATCTTTTCCCAAGAAATAGACAGGTGAAACATGAAAGCCAAAGCACCAATCCTTCAAAAGTTATGACCAAGGTTAAAGTTTTTCAAAAGTACATTAAACTCCAAGGTCAAGGTCAATGAATTACAATTGTTGGTATCCAAAGAAAGGTCTTATCACAAGGATTACACATGTGAAGTATGAAAGCCCTAGCACCAACCATTCAAAAGTTATGGCCATGGTTGAAGTTTTTCAAAAGTGGGTCAAACTCCAAGGTCAAAGTTGTTGGTATTCAAAGAAAGGTCTTATCACAAGGATTATATACCATATGTGAAATATGAAAGCCCTAGCACCAATTGTTCAAAAGTAATGGCCAATGTTAAAGTTTTCCAAAAGTAGATCAAACTCCAAGGTTAAGGTCAGAGGGTCAAAGTTGTTGGTATCCAAAGAAAGGTCTTGTCACAAGGATTACATATGTGAAATATGAAAGCCCTAGCACCAATTGTTACAAAGTTATGGCCAAGGTTAAAGTTTTCCAAAAGTAGATCAAACTTCAAGGTCAAGGGGTCAAAGTTGTTGGTATCCAAAGAAAGGTCTTGTCACAAGGATAACATATGTAAAGTATGAAAGCCCTAGCACCAACTGTTCAAAAGTAATGGCCAAGGTTAAAGTTTTCCAAAAGTAGATCAAACTCCAAGGTCAAGGTCAAAGGGTCAAAGTTGTTGGTATCCAAAGGAAGGTCTTGTCACAAGGATTACATATGTGAAGTATGACAGCCCTAGCACCATTCATTTGAAAGTTATGGCCAAGGTTAAAGTTTTCCAAAAGTAGGTCAAACTCCAAGGACAAAGGGTCAAAGTTGTTGGTATCCAAAGAAAGGTGTTGTCACAAAGATTACACATGTGAAGTAAGAAAGCCCTAGCACCAACCATTTAAAAGTTATGGCCAAGGTTAAAGTTTTTCAAAAGTAGGTCAGACTCCAAGGTCAAGGTCAAAAGGTCAGAGTTATTGGTATCCAAAGAAAGGTCTTGTCACAAGCATTACACATGTGAAATATGAAAGCCCTACACCAATTGTTAAAAAGTTATGGCAAAGGTTAAAGTTGGGTAAAATTTTGCAAAACTGGGTCAAACTCCAAGGTCAAGGTCAAAAGATCAAATATGGTGGTACCCAAATAAAGGTCTTGTTACAAGGAATACACATGTGAAATATGAAAGCCATAGCTCCAACCAATCAAAAACTATGGGCAAGGTTAAAGTTTTTGTGGACAAACAGACAGACAGACAGGGCAACAACTATATACCCCCGAAATTTCGATACGGGGGCATAATTAATGGTAACCTTACAACAAAAATTTATGACAAATGTGATGACTTCAACCTTTCTAATCTCATCTTCCCTAATTTATGTAGCATTGCACCATTATCACCTGCATATGGAGCTTATGTCTCCCAGCTAATTCAATCAGCAGGAGAATGCTCTATGACAAGAAGCATGTGTAATCTGTCAACAAGGGGATCTTACTCCTCTTTGGCACCTGATGCCACCTCTGATATTTTTAGAGGTCTGGTTTACCCTGCTCTCAATTTGTTCCAATTGACTTAAAAGCTTAATTACTGTTCATTACTTTCATATTTCATCATGAATGTGAAATAAATATAACAACTCAACCAAATTTGACATACACTGTAAATTAAAAGATCTATTTTGGTTTAAAATCTGGTCAAAGTTGATATTTTTGAAATTAATTGGTTTACCTCTAAGTAAAGTGGCAGCTGTTCCTCTGTAAATACTCCGAATACCCCCTTCTCTGTATAGTTGCTTTGCACAATCAACAGGGCCTGCATATTTTTTAACTTTAGCATCAGCCTGAATCTGTTATACAAAAATATTGATTAACTTGATGAAAAACAATCCTAGGGATTATAATCTGCAGATCATCAAGACAAACTTAAGGCCGTGTAGCTCTTTTCACAAAAATCTTAAGTTATTGCATGAGATTTTAGCTTAAGGAGGAGCAGGATCTTGAGCCAAAAAAATCCTGTCAATGAATTTTTTTTCATTTTTGTATATTACTATTTTAGAGTCCCCTACGTATCTTAAGGCAGTTATTTCAACAGATTTCGTGACTTGTTTAAGCACAAAATCACTCCGTATTGGATCTGTATGAAGTTTTGATTTTTTATGTTTATGGGGTACATTACTGAGTTCATAACGTGGTTCTGCTAAATATCCAGGGGCAAAGAAGAAGATTTTCAAAGAATTGATAAAGTTTCACAAAATAATCAATAAAGCCCATCCTTAAAACCAGAACCCCTGACCCAGGGGCCAAGATATTCACAATTTTGGAAGAGGCACCCTTGCTCATCATAACTTCATACCTGGTTTATCTGCTAAATATCCAGGAGCAGAGAAGAAGAATTTCTAAGAAATATGCACTTTCACTATGTAATCAATAGAGCCCCCACTCCTGCAGAACCCCTCACCTTGGGGCCAAAAATTTCACAATTTGAAAGAGGCATCCTTGCTCATCATAACTATAAACTTGGATTATCTGCTAAATACCTAGGAGCAGAGAAGAAGAAATAATGCATTTTAACTATATAATCAATAGAGCCCCCCCCCCCCCTCTTGCAGAACCTCTCAACCAGGGCCAAAAATTTCACAACTTTTGGAAAAGACACCCTTAATCATCATAACCATACACCTTATTTATCTCTTTATGTACAGGGGGAGAGAAGATTTTTAAAGAATTTATGCATTTTTACTATAAGATCATTAGAGCCCCACCCTAACTCCAGAACCCCTGACCCTGGGGCCAAAAAAAATCATGATTTTGGTAAAGGGCTCAATGCTTATATCATGTCAACAGTTTGACTGCTTGATGTCCAGGATTTTATTATACCGAATGTCTTACATGTATTGATTAGGATGTCAGCAAAAAAAAAAAAAAAAAAAAAAAAAAAAAAAAAAAAAAAAAAAATGGGTGAGTTAAAAAAAATGCCCACCAAACTGAAATTTTTTGGGAAAATTCAACTAGTTCTAACATATTTTTTTCACTTATATCATCATATTGCACATGCATTCTAGTTTAAAATCCTGAAGTGGCAATAGAATAGACAATTGGATTAAAAAGTTTCAGAATTTTTATTAGTAAAATTTCTTTTGAAAAAAGAAAATATCATTATACCTTAAAAGACTTTCTAAAATACAAAATCACAAGATATTATAGTTTTTTATGCTTCCAAATGGTAAAAGGGGTATAAATGATTAAATCTAGACCTTGATTGAGTATCTTCTCTTGTACTAGATGAAATCCAGTGCAAGCGTGGGGAATTGAATATATACCACTACCGACAGAAAAATTCCAATAATAAATATATTGTAGTTTCTACCGACAGCCTATAGGCTTATAGCAGGAAGAAATACTTTGTTCAAAATCCTGCATGGAGTAGATGTACGTATCCACCCCACCCACCCCCTTTTTGTAAAAACTTGATAATAACAATTTTATTAATTGATGTTTATTTTGAAACCTGTTATACTGAGTTATGGATATTGTACTTATGCTCTTATTTCATTTCCGTCAAGGATAAAAGCACCGCATATGCACATTTTACTGATAAATTGAGGGGGGGGGGGTAAAAATTCACATGCAGGTACTTTGGTCTTGGTTTCTAAATATGTATGTACCTTATTGATATGTAAAATATGTAATTTACTCGTTTTTACATATCAATAAGGTCCAAATACCTGTGTAAAAATTAGCTTATAACGCCCTATGAATAGGCCGGGTGACTGTAGTCAGAAAAAAAACTGAAATGTAGCATAAAATTTTACAGCTTTAATTATATTTGAACAATACCTTATTCATTAATTTTCTCTTTTCATGTAAGCAAGTTTATTATGAAGTACAAATTGTACTTCGGGTTCGTGACCACGATTCTCTCAGGATTTCCAAGAAATGGTCCGAACAAAATCTCGTCTACAGACAGACAGACAGACAGACGGACAGACGGATGGACATGCTGATTCCAATATATCCCCCTAAACTTTGTTTGAGGGGGGTATAATTATACAAAAAGATCATTATTAATCAATGAATACTTCTAAGTATGAATAGAAGTGTTTACGTCACACAACTATAATCTTTAAAAAAATGTGTTGCACTCCTGACCATAGAAATATAGATCTGAAGCACAGACAGATCTGGTAATTGATAGATCTATTTGGTAAAAATGTTCTTTGTATCTTTATTCTCCAAAATAAAAATCAGAAAATCATATAATGATAATAGTTTTTATACCCGCACTTTCTAAAGAAAGTTCGGGTATATTGTTGTTACTCATGTCTGTTCGTCTGTCCGTCCGTCTGTCACACTCTTCTTTCTCAAACTCCTCTTACATTTTACACAGTAGCCTAATCATCTTTTGGGAGATGGTTGGTGGTGTCATGTAGATGTGCAGTAAGGTTTCGGAATTTTCATTTTCACCCTGGGGATCAAATGGGGGTCAAAAAATGACGTTTGTTATGCAAAAAGGCCCCTGGTTCCCTCAACTCCTCTTACATTTTACACAGTAGCCTAATCATCTTTTAGGAGGTGGTTAGTGGTGTACTGTAGTTGTGCAATAAGGTTTCGGAATTTTCATTTTCACCCTGGGGGTCAAATGGGGGTCGAAAAATGATGTTTTTTTTATACATAAAGACCCTGGTTTCCAGAACTCCTCCTACATTTTACACAACAGCCTAATCATCTTTTGAATTGATTATGATTGATTATTATTGTTAACACAGAGTAGGCAATATTTCAGTCATTTTTCAGTGATCAAATGAAGTGTATATTCCCATTGATGAATTTTGACAGAACTTTAAGAAAAGTGAGGTCAAGGTCAAAGGAAAGGTCAAGGTCAAAAATTTTGATGCAGTTGAATAGCTCTCATTAGTATGTATCAGCATATGAAGTTTGATTTAAATATCTTGAATGATTTCATTAAAACTGAGCTAAACACTAATTTAAGAAAAGTGAGGTCAAGGTCAAAGGAAAGGTCAAGGTCAAAAATGTTGATTCAGTTCAATATCTTACTTCAGTATGTATCAACATATGAAGTTTGATTACCCTTTCTTGAATGTTATCTTTAAAAGTGAGCTAAACACTAATTTAAGAAAAGTGAGGTCAAGGTCAAAGGAAATGTCAAGGTCAAAAAATATTGATGCAGTTGATATCTCTCTCATTAGTATGTATCAGCATATGAAGTTTGATAAAAATATTTTGAATGATTTCATTAAAACTGAGCTAAACACTAATTCAAGAAAAGTGAGGTCAAGGTCAAAGGAAAGGTAAAGGTCAAAAAATGTTGATGGAGTTGAATAGCTTACATCAGTATGTATCAATGCAAGAAGTTTAATTATACTATCTTGAATGGTATCTTTAAAACTTAGCTAAACACTAATTTAAGAAAAGTGAGGTCAAGGTCAAAGGAAAAGTGAAGGTCAAAAAATGTTGACGCAGTTACATAGGTCTCATCAATATCTATCAGCATATGAAGTTTGATAAAAATATCTTTGATAGTTTCTTTGAAACTGAGCTTTGAACAGAGCTAAACGTAAAGCGTGATGGAAAGACAGAAAGACAGAAGGATGAAAGGACGGAAGATGGACATGGCAAACACTATATGCACCAGCCATATTCATGGCTGGGCATAAAAACAAGGTAAAAAATTTTGTTTGCATGCACCCTTTCTCCATACCACCTCTCCATGTTCCAAGATTGAAGTTTTAATGTCAAAAGGTTCTTAAGTTATGGTTTGGAGGTGTTTTTCTCAATTTGACCTTGAATGAAGAAAGGAGTCAAGGTCAAAATTTTAGTGCAGTGCATCTTTTGTAAATGTCTTTTTTTTATGTTACATATTTGAAATTTTAATCTCAAAGGGTTCTCAGGTTATAGCCTGGACTATATTTTTATGTAAAGATTGACCTTGACCTTATTGAAAGGTCAAGGTAAAAAAAGTTTGGTGGCCTCAACCCAAATTCCATACCACCTCTCCATGTTTCAAGTTTGAAGTTTTAATGTCAAAGGGTTGTTAAGGCTCGGACAAAATTTGATTGAAGAAGAAAACTGACAAAAACAATATGTAGACTAGTATAGTCTACTTGTTGCATCAAACCTGTAGGAGGAGTAGTTTTGAAAGAACAAATTTGTTTCTACATTATGGAATGAAACTTTCACATAAGATTCAACTTTTCTTGCCTAGTGGTTCTTGAGGAGGAATTTTTTTTCTTTTACAGTAAAGCATGCTTATAGCGAAACAAGCCTATAATGAATTGATACTTACAGCAAAGCGATTTTCATTCCCTGTGACTTTAAAATATATTGTAAACTTAATGGATATAAGCAATTACACTTATAACAAAGCAAAATCGTCCGTCCCAGGCACTTTGTTATAAGCGTGTTTTACTGAACATTCCCATGTTTACAAAACTTTGATCCCCTATTGTGGCCGCACCCTACCCCTGAAGGTCATGATTTGGACAAAGTTGAATCTACACTAAGTAATGAAGTTTCACATAATTTTAAACTTTTCTGGCCCAGTGGTTCTTCATTAGAACATTTTTGAAATAACATTAAATTTTCACTCATTCTTATCTCCCCTTAAAAGAAGGTTTGGCCCTTCATTTGAACAATTGTTTTACACAAAAAAGAATATTTTGCATGAGAAATAAAACTCTTTGTGTTTCTAAATATTTCATCACACCTCTAGTGTGTTTCTTCCTATTTTAACTAAGATAATGATGAATTAATTATGACTTCAATTTTGCACAGGCCTTTGTATGATAATTATACCCTGAGGGGTATGTTTATCTGTCTTCAACAAGTC